AAAAAAAAAAAAAAAAAAAAATGAAGGTATAGCTATTTCTGCGATTCCCCATTATAGTCTACAGCTGAATTACTGAAACTCTCTGAATCAGCGCCGACTCTTTCAAAGCTGATTCAGCCGAGTCAATTCAGGACAGCGATCTGAATTGAATCGCTGTCCTCCAAATCAACTGAATCCAAATCAAATACTTCCCTATTTGCACAGGCCTACAATGTACCAGCGATAAAACACTTGACTCAGTGCTATGAAGGCAGACATTGCGATAGTGAATTTACATGCAACTGTTCTGTCTATCCAGAAAAGTTAATAACTGGTTGACTTGAGTACTAAACAGCTCCACTTGAGACCCCGGAACTGAACTGACATTGTTCATATAGTAGAACCTGGATACTTCACAGGGTTAGGTTCCTCCTCCCCCGACCCTCATATGCAGGAGTACGTAGAGCTGCTGCGATGCTCAGACTGGTTGCTATGACTCATTTTAGAAAGCACACTTCTCCAATCAGCTACACAGGACTGCCAAGCCCATTTCAACTGAGTGGAAGAACAAAGTACAAAGCACAGCAAAACAGCTGGGCAGCTCATGTACAATTTGGTTTGAACTGCTAATAGACAATCTGGATTCTACTGGGTCTCCTATAATTATGATCCAATTCCATCACGTATATTAGTCCACATACAAGATTATTTATGCAATGTTGTGTTCTTCCATTATAGGACCCTTCAGAACAAAAACAAAAAGACTAGAACTATAAATTGCAAGGGTCCACTTCCTTAACATTTTATATATTCTAATATTATAAAAGCCTAAGTCTGTCTGTCTGTAACACTTTATTCGTGCTCCGACTGGCTGACAAACAGACAGTCAGAGTGCGAACAAGTGTTCGAACAGGAGCTGGCAGCATGCTGGAACACTGCCATGATGGTGGGACATAGGGGACGGGAGGGAAAGGAAGCCTTGCCCTGCCCCCCCTGCCTTTATTCCTTGCAGGTGACGATGGCAGTGGTGCAGGAGGGAGCGGGGGTCAGGAGCCAAGGCCACCAGCTCTGGCCTTGGCCTGCCCCTCTCTTCCCCTGTTGTCACCACCAGCAGGGCCTGATTCAGGACAATGTGGTGGCAGCGGGAGGAACAGCAGGCCTGCCGTGGCAGTAGGGGGAGGTGTGGTGTGGGCCCAAGCCTGATGCGGGGGAGACCTGGGCCCGAGGGTGGAAAGAAGCCAGGCCACGGCAGCCAGGGGAGCAGCAGGCCTAGGCTGACCCAGCAGCGGGGGGGTGGGAAAAGCAGGCTCAGAACCAACATGGAGAAGACGGGGAGGGTGGGGGAGGAGTAGGACAAGCCCGAGCCAGGGAAGAAATCAGGCCCGCTGCAGTGGGTGGGGTGGAAGCAGTGGGCCCAGCCTGACACAGCAGCAGCTGTGGGAGGGGAGAGGCAGGCCTTTTCCACACCCCCCTGGGCCAGTCCCGGTCCCACTCCACCCCCCTGCCTCGGCTCCAAGCCCACACTCCTCCTGTTCCCCCTGCTGCCCCCTGGTTCACCCGGGCCTGATGCTCCCCCTGCCATGGCAGCACCAGCTTCTCCCCATCCTTGGGCCCAGGCCCACTCCTCCGCACAGCGGGGAAGGGGAAAAATGGGCCCAGACCCCAACCAGCAGGAGGAAAGGGGGGAGCAATCCTGGGAGAGAGGCTCCATCCCCACCTGTTCCCCCCAGTCATTCTTGATGGGCAATTGGCTAGTAAACATGAGTTATATATAGCTGTATATGAATTGTACAATTATAAAGTGCTTCAAATCTAAGCAAGTTTTGCTGCTTTCTGGACACCGAGTTGTTTACTGGTTACAACCAAGTGAACTCAGTCTTAATTATGACAAATAGTGCCTCAGTTAGACCGATATACACAAATATGTCAAAATCAGACTAAAGGCTCCACATTCTACAGGACAGACTGGAAAAAGTTATATATGCCACAGAAATCACTTTTTATATTAAGCTATGATCACTAGGACTTGTTTGTTAGGTGATCAAATTATTATTGGGTTGCCAGCAGAATGGTCCCACAGAAATATGTGCTTGCCCATATTTCTAGTAGCACAGCATTACTATCAAACTTCCCTTCTCACAAACACGTTACATCTATCTAGAATACATATTCCAGAGCAAAATATTATACCCCAGGAGATGCACATAGCCAACAGTTGCACTGAATTGAAGGTGGCATGACAGTTCATTTCCCCACTCCAAACAGCCATCCTGAACTCCAACTAGCTTCAAGCATCAAGGACAATAAAAAGTCCTTTTTCAGATATGTGGGGAGCTGGAGGAAAAGCAAGGGCAACGTTGGACCCCTGATAAACCAGATGGGACAACTGATGCCCAGGAAAAAGCTAACCTATTAAATGGGTACTTTGTGTCGGTCTTTCATCAGTCCCATGGGACGCCCGTGCCCACTACGGGACAGAGAGGTCCAGGTGAGGGAGATCCCCTGCCCTTCATCAATGCTGACCTCATGAACGAACACCTAGACAGGCTGGATACCTTCAAGTCAGCCAGCCCTGACAATCTACACCCCAGGGTACTCAAGGAGCTGGTGAGCATCAT